GTACAGCACTTCCACAGAGAAATGGCTGAAATATGATTTATACATGATAGTAAGGTATATGATCAATCAAAGTTACTAAATGAAATGACTCTTCAATGGATTGCTACGTCAATATATTTTTTTAGACATGTCTTTCGAAAGTAACAATGACTGTTTGAAGAATACCAATGCTCGTCAAAAGTAGACTGTCATTTTCTTTCTCTTTTTCTCCTTTAAATTGCATAGCAAAGTATGATACAACAAAAATAAACAGAACACAGCGCTGGCGTTTAAGAAAAATTCGAAGGTGTTGCTAAATTGAAAAAAAATGACAACGAAACAAGAAACTGAAGCTTTATTTGCGGATTTTTCTATTTATTGTTAGGCTCGGGAGTGCTTACACAGGGTTATGTAAAAATAATGTGGAAACACAGTAAGAGGAATCTAGACGATATGAGCACAGTTTCATCGATACGACACTAAGCTACAGTCTGTGACACTTTGAAGCACATGGAAAAGAAATATAACAAAAACTGAAAGAAGTGTCTTTCTTTCAAATTTTTCACTCTTCCCATCCGAAAGAAATGACCAAGGTTACCACCTTGACTTTTGTTGAAATCGTTCCAAAAAATATATCATGATAGAAAAGAGACCATTCTAAATCAGACCTATACATTTGCTTGAAATTTTTTAAAAATATCTTTTAGCGTAAAAACCAAATAGTTCGTCATTTGTCAGTGAGAACAACATCTGTTCTGACACATAGGAATAGCAATACACTAATCTTATTCCGATTCGAAACTTTCGTCTCCAAATTTCTTAATAAGTTTTTGGCACAAAAGGAAATAGAGGAAAAAGCCAAGCGAGATGTGGGCAAGTATAGGCGAAAAAGAATTTTCGTAATACTTATTTTGATAATGATTTTCTCGCTTTTAATCATTTCAGTTTCTCAAGAGACCTCTGAACATTCGCTATACATTTATCGAGGTCATCCCTGAAGATGTTTACTGGGGGAATTTCAGACTGAGAGAAAAAGATTCCGCCTACAGTCTTACTAATATTTATTGATTGTTTTCATTTTTTGGAATAAGCTGAAATCTGATTACATATTTTTGTTTCTTCGACCTCCGAATACTCAATCATAGGCTGAATTTTGGTGCGAAAAGATACCGGATAAAAGCATTCAGATCATCCGAAAAAAACAGGTGAAGAATGCGCACCAAGACAAGCGACTAGATCACAATGAAAAACAATAAATAGATAGAGATTTATCCTACTGTCTTGTGAGAGGCCACTGCAAATATTGAATACATTTGAACTCTTTTCTCCAGGAATTACATACCCCCGTTTGTCCTTCAGCCATCAGGTAATTATTGTGGTGTGGATGCACGGATGCTTCTCATGGGTACCCCCACCACACCTACCCATTCACTGTGTATCATTTTTCTATTTTCAACAATATCCATCAGTATCAGAAATCGAAACGAATGAAAAAATCTTGATTCGATTCGTGTTNAGCATAGTTTTTTTAGACTAGGACACAATATCTTTTATGTCTAATGTTGTCATGATTATTTAGCGTTTGAAAAATATGAGAATAACAATTTTGAATTTTGTAAGAGATGAAAATCAATTTTCTTCTAATACTTACCACTTACATCGAGTACGAGTTTAAACAAACAGGGCAACATTAATAGAAATGATTGTGGCAATCTGTCTTGTACAATACGAACTTCTAGCGTTCGCAGCTGAGATGCACGAAAACTAATACTTTGGAGTTCGCTTAATGTACATTGTTTGAGTTTCAAGTAAGTAAGATGTGGACATAATTGAAGCTGTAGCCATTTACCGTTGTCAAGACATATTCGATTCAGCTGCCATAAAGTTTGTCTATAGCAAGACGGAAAATCAAGATCAGTATCGCATGAGAACGAACGCAGATTCTTAAGCTAAGACAAATGTGATAAGATGGACCTCCATGAATCAGAATCAGGTTTAATCAATGTTGGTGACCTGATGTGTATGAATTCTAATAGTTGGATATTATAAAGATGATGTTTACTTTGATACCATGTTTCATAGTTATCGGAGAACGTAAGTGAGATGACTTGGGTAGGTGAAATGTAACGATCGACAAAATTGAAATGAGTTCGGAGAATTTTTGTAAAGTCAAGTCGATAGTATGGATATGTATGTAGTATACCATCGAAATAAGGATTTATATTCGAAAATGCGAGAACGATTTCGTGACCTTGAAGATAATCGAATATTTCGTACAGCACTTCCACAGAGAAATGATTGAAACATGATTTGCACATAATAGTAAGGTATATAATGAATCAAAATTGCTAAATGAAATGACTCTTCAATGGATTGTGACGTCAGTATTTTTCTTTAGAAATGTCTTTCGGAAGTAACAATGACTGTTTGAAGAATATGGGTGTGGGTGGCACAATTTCATCGTTACGACATTAAGCTACAGTATGACGCTTTGAAGCACATGGAAAAGAAAAATAACGAAAACTGATAAGAAAAACAAAGGAAAAGAAAAAAATACAAGGAAGAGAAAAAGAATACGAAAACTGAATAAGGGTAAAAGAAAAAAACAAGAGAAGAACTTAAATTCACATGGAAGCATTTAATCAAGAAAAACAATCCACTTAAGTAGCAGAAACTCATGTCTTTTTTCAATTTTTTCACTCTTCTCATCCGAAGGAAATGACCACGGTTATCACCTTGACTTTTTTTGAAATCGTCCCAAAAAATATATCATTATAGAAAAGAGACCATCCCAAATTAGACCTATGCATTTACTTGAAATTTTCTTTTGTATCTTTTAGCTTAAAAACCAAATGGTTGGTCATTTATCATTGAAAACAAAATCTGTTTTGGCACATAGAGACAGCAATACACTAATCTCATTCCAATTTTAAACTTTCGTCTTAAAGTTTCTTGATAAGTTTTTGGCACAAAAGGAAATAGAGGGAAAAGCCAGACGAGAGGTGGGAAAGTATAGGAGAAAAAGCATTTTCGTAATACTGATTTTGATAATAATTTTCTCGCTTTCAATCATTCCAGTTTCCTAAAAGACTTCTGAACATTCTCTATACATTTGTCAAGGTCATCCATGATGATATTTACTGGGGGCATTTCGGATTGAGAGAAAAAGATTTCGTCTACAGTTTTACTAATATTTATTGTTTTGTTTTTCATTTTTTGGAATAAGCTGAAATCTGATTATATATTTTTGTTTTTTCGATCTCAGAATATTCGATCCAAGTCTGAATTTTCATATGAAAAGAGACCGGATAAGAGCATTCAGATCATCCAGAAAAACATCTGCAGAATGAGCACCAAGACAAGAGATCAGATCACAATGAAAAACAATAAACAGATAGGAACTTATCCTACTGTCTTGTGAGAGATCACTCCACATCTTGAATCCATTCGAATTCTTCTCTCCAAGAATTACATACACTTGTCTGTCCTTCAGCCATCAGGTAATTATTGGGATGTGGGTGCACGAATGCTGCTCATTGGCACCCACACCACACCTAAGCTTTCACTGTGTATCATTTTTCTATCTTTTACAATATTCATCAGTATCAGAAATCGAAACGAATGAAAAAATCTTGATTCGATTCGTATTCAGTCTCTTGTGACTATCCATTGAATATTTAGCTCTTCCTAATTTGATTAAGAATAATAAAGATGAATCAATCAATCATCATTGATAATAGCATCTTGAATAGGAAAATAATAAGCAGCTTGTAATAAAACAAACAATGATAGTTTTCAAATATANAATTAATCTTATTCTCTCGTCTGTTTTATGTTTTTGCCATCTGCTTTTCTATTTTTTTTCTGTTTCATTTGTATCTATAATCCTAAAACTCAATGAGCTATGTTCCAAATTCGCTTGTTGGTCACGAACATGTGGCATCAATTGTTTTTTGTATTTGAAGATAGTAAATCAATATTCTTTCTTTTTCTTTTCTATGTGACCTCTTCTTCATAGTACTGACCTTCAACGCTACACTTTTCCCTCTTTTTTCTTCCGTTTCATCAAAATGAGAGTGTGTTCATACTGTTATATAGACACAATTGGTTTAATGAAAGGACTCAATAGGTATCGCTATTGATCATAGCGAGACAGTTACTTCTTTAGTTTTTATCACACTGTACAGTTATATTATCATCTGTAAATAATAATATTCTCTTTTTCAGATCGAATTATATGTAAATATTTTATTTTCTAAAATATAAAATCGTACAAATAGTTGTTATTTTTGCAATGGCATGAAAATAGAAATATTCATAGATGCATTTTTTGTAGAAAGAAACAAACCCAAACTTTTAAACCAATATATGGATCAAATGAAACGAAAATTATCTTTAAACCAATCATTAAAAGAAGAAATCAAGAAATTACGAAGTAAGTTATGTGAACAATAGATATAAACGTTTTTCTGTATTGTCATAAATAATTAGATGAATGCGATCGATCAATAACTTGTATTGAAAGTTTACCTATGGAATTTTTCTATGAAGTATTTGATTATCTTGATGGTTATGCAATACATAAAGCATTTTCAAACCTTAATCATCGTTTTCAACAAATTCTCAACTCTCCATCTCTATTGTTTAAAATTAAAATTCATCATTTAAAATATAAAGAAGGCCATAGAAATAGCTATAAAAAATTTCTCTGTAGAAATATGCATAAAATAGTCTCCATAAAAGTATGTTTATCAATACAAATTGATACTTTTTTCTTATGGTTTACCATTAAACCTTCGCTGAGTGCTCTCGAATCGCTTCGTATTTATGACATTGAATCAATTAGACTTATCTCACTTCTTATTAACTTGGCTAGTCTACCTCGTCTTTTCTCTTTAAATATTAAAACATCTAATACTTACGAAAATCTACATGACATTTATCGATTACTATTCACATTACCGACATTAAAATGGTGTAGATTTATCTTTCATCGAAAGAACAGCTTATTCTCATTGCCGATGGCTATCAATAAACAACAGAGTACTATTGAATATTTTTCTATTCATCATCGTTGTACTCTCAACGAACTTTATGCTATAATTTCTTATACACCTCAACTTCGTCGTCTTAATCTGTGCCATAAATTTGAGATTGATTCAAATATTCGAACTATATTACCAATAACATTATCAAATTTAACAAATGTTTCGATACATATGCATCATGAAAAATTTGATGAATTTGAAATATTCATTAGAAAAATATGTTCGAAATTAAAAATTTTACGTGTTAATACTTATTCTCAAGATATAGCTTTTCTTAATGCTTATCGTTGGGAAAAATTAATTTTACAGTCTTTGTCTCAATTAGAAGAATTTTATTTACGATATTATGAACGAGCTGGTCCTGTACATAAATATCCTATGTATAATGGCCAACTAAATCAATTTGTTTCATCTTTTTGGATTGAACGACAGTGGATATTTGAAACTGAAATCAATAGTGAATCTATCATTTATTTAGTTGGTCCATACAGGTACATTGAGCAAATCTTTTTATATGAAAAAAAAATGATTATTTCTTTTAGAAAAAGATGGTATGAAAATACACAAGATAAGATTTGTAATTGTTCTCGTGATCTTTTCAAATCTACTCGACTTACTCTGAAATATTCTGACTCTGATGATAATAAAAAATTAGTGACAATAGCTACTAAACGTATTTTAACCGTAACACAAGTGTATGATTTAGAAATTCTAGAAGAAACATATTTTATTGGTGCATTAATCAAAATTATAAATTTATTACCAGAAGTTAATACATTAAAAATTCATTCTTTTTCATTGTATGAACTAAGAATGTTAAATTTGAAGAACGTTTTATTTTTTCTTCAATAGAAGATACAAGTAAAATTACAAATGTATATCTTGAGAAAATGAATGAAATTGAAGAATTTTCTTTTCTTTCGGAATTATGTCCTTATATGAAGTCTCTCAAGGTTGATTATATCAAATATATGGATGTCAAATTTGTTCTACGCTATATATTCAAAAAAATTAAAGAAGATTGTAATGAACATCTTTGTTTATTATGTTTACATATTCCAACAGTTGATGATGAAATGATTGGAAAATTGAAAAGAATGATCAATTTTGAAAAACTTTTATTTAATTATACAATTAAACGTGTAGCAGATCATATGTATATAGAATGGGAATAATTTTAATATATGTATTATTGATTCTTTTTAAGAATTTGTTTTCATTAAATAAATATTCTTTTTCTTAGTCGGTAAAGTTCATCTCATGATACGATTTTAAAAAGTTTTTCTGCATCAGTGATCAAGAAATCACATTGTTTTTTGAGTAAATGATCAGATCAACTGTCTTGAAAATTATTTACACAATTACGATCTGAGAGTGGAAGTTGATTTAGGAAAGTGGTTCAAGAAAATAAATCATAGCACGAGATCATTTCAAGTTCAACTACTGATAGTATGCGGAATGGGTGTGGATGAGTACGGAAAGAAAAAAAAAGGTCATATTCACATTCTTTCAGTTTTCTTTTGATCAGCCATGAAATTTGGTATGAAAAAGAAGCTACCTAGAATGGACAATATCTTGAGGATATGTGAGTGTGGGATGATAAGATAAGGTAGTACATCAGACGCAGGTTCATGTTCACGTCAACATCCTATTTATCATTTATTTAATCGTCGATTGTGATTTTCGATGATCGATCTTTGACCACTCATTGGAATATTTAAATCTATAAACTTTTAATGATACACAAGTTTATCAGAGGATTATTCCTATAAGAGTATAGTTCCTCATCAAACGTGATAATTAAATTTTCAATAGAATACGATTGAGTGTAAAGACATTAAAAATCAGCCATCGAAATTCTCATTTCCATTCATGTATTTTTACTGAAATATATATTCAGGAGAATAACATCGAAAAGCAACAGAGAAAGTAAGCAAGTAACATATTGCAATAAAAGTTTTACAATGTAAACTTTACATGATTATTGAAAGTTGAAACATGGCGAAGCCATGGTGCTTGTGTTGGAAAAATCTTCGTCACATCTCCATCGCATTGCTTGTGAGAATTACATCTCAGGAACCAGTCTCTGAATGAAGAATTCTGTTGAGTAGGGTATAAGTTTAACAGTAAAGCTATTGCATTATGGACATGCGCATCTGAGTATTGAGGTGTAGATTTAAAAGTATATGAGTGAGCATATGCATGCTACCAGTGAATTTGAAATTTGATTAGAATTAGAATGGTGTTTTTCTAATTTCTTCGTAACACGTATCGTTCATGCATAAAATTAGAAACATTATTATAACACTGAATATTTTGTTTGTTTCTCTAAATTGAGGATATATTTTTATAAAAGCTTTTTTGATAATAGGAACTTTCCATGAGTCCAATTTCATTAAAAACTAAATATTTTATTTTTGTACAACCAGCAAATGACTTTTTTTTCTATAGAATGAGAATTATTTTTACTATTTTTGTATAATGTTTAAACAAAACCTTTTAAAATAGTATTTAGAGGCATAGTTATGTCAGATAAAAGTTTTTGTAAAAATAATGGGCATTTCATCAAATATTTGCCTTATAACTATGATAAAGAGGTGTAATAAATTTTTGTAAGCACTGATAAGATTGAAAGCTTATACGATGCATAGTTTTTCTTAGTAAATTTTCGATCAGACTTTCTGATGGAGTCATAAAAAGATTTGAGCCTTTATTTATGGACTACAAAGTGGCTTAATATTGTAAACCCTTTTATAAATCAATCACTTTATCCAATTGATAAAGCTTCATTTCCTTTATCAGTTCATTCTAAGAGCATTGTTTTTCTAATTTGATTCCTGCATTTTGGACTCTGAATGAAAAAAAATTCCTTTTTTTCAAATAATTCCGAGCTTTCCGATCGCAATTGTGACACAGATATGAAGCTTAATAAGTAAAAGTTTAGCCTTATATATTTATATGAGCTACAGTAGAATGAATGGATACAAGTAGAGTTCTGAAGAAAAAATGCACTATTAGTGGAAAGTCAATTCATTATAACATGTTTGGAAATATGCTTTTAAGCTCTAGCAAAACTATGTAGACGGAGAAAAACACTCATTCAAAAGTTGATTTTTACAGATTTTTTCCCTGNTAGCAAAATAGAGTACTTTTTTCTATATTAGACTATATAGAAAGAAAGTTTTTTTTAAGCTTACTATATGGCTATGTAACGTCGTGATCAGAACTTTTGGTACACCCTAAGTAAGTATCAAAACATCTAATACTTATGAAAATCTAAATGACATTTATCGATTAATATTCACCTTGCCGACATTAAAATGGTGCAGATTCATCTTTCATCGAAAGAACAGCTCATTCTCATTACCGCTGGCTATCAATAAACAACAGAGTACCATTGAATATCTTTCTATTCATCATCGTTGTACTCTCAACGAAGTTCATAGTATAATTTCTTATACATCTCAACTTCGTCGTCTTGATCTATGTCATAAATTTGAGATTGATTCAAACATTCGAACTATATTACCAATAATATTATCAAATTTAACAGATGTTTCAATACATATGCATCATGTAAAATTTGATGAATTTGAAATATTTATCAGAAAAGTATGTTCTAAATTAAAAATTTTACGCGTTAATACTCGATCTCCAGATATAGCCTTTCTTAATGCTTATCGATGGGAAAAATTAATTTTACAATCCTTACCTCAATTAGAAGAATTTCATTTACGATATTATGAACGAGGTGGTAGTGTATATAAATATTCTATATATAATGGAGGACCAAATCAATTCATTTCATCATTTTGGATTGAACGACAATGAATATTTGAAGCTGAAATCAATAGTGAGTCTTTTATTTATTTAGTTCGTTCATACAGGTACATTGAGCAAATCTTTTTATATGAAAAAAATGCTTATTTCTTTTAGAAAAAGATGGTATGAAAATACACAAGATAAGATTTGTAATTCTTCTCTTGATCTTTTCAAATCTACTCGACTTACTCTGAGATATGCTGATTCTGATGATATTGAAGAATTAATGACTGTAGCTACTAGAGGTGTTTTAACTGTAGCACAAGTGTATGATTTGGAAATTCCAGAAGAAAAAATTTTCATTGGTGCATTCATCAAAATTCTAAATTTATTACCAGAACTTAAAACATTAAAAATGCATTCTTTGTCATATTATGAGCCAAGAATATTATATTCTGAAGAACTTTTCATTTCTTCTTCAACAGAAGATACAAGTAAAATTACAAATGTTTGTCTTGAGAAGATGAATGAAATTTTAAGAATTTTCTTTTCTGTCGGAATTATGTCCTTATATGGAATGTCTCAAAGTAGATTATATCAAACATATGGATTTCAAATTTGTTCTGCGATATATATTCAAAAAAAATTAAAGAAGATTGTAATGATCGTCTTTGTCTATTATGTTTTCGTATTCCAACAGTCGATGATGAAATGATTCGAAAATTAAAAAGAATGATCAATTTTGAAAAACTTTTATTTAATTATACAAT